GGCTGACAGGAACATCATCAAACAACCTTGAGAGACGAACGCTGCGGAAAGAGATGCCGAAGAGTTGGCAAGTCTGAAGGGTTTCGTCAGTGCCCTCCTCTCGTCTTCTTGAGCCCATCTCATGCGTCACTTGTCTGGGCTTCACTAGGTTGCGGGTGGTCTAATCAGACGGCTTTTAAGGGGGGGAGAAACATTATAACATAGTCATTCATAGGATATCATAACATACCCATTTATAAGATACATGAAAGAAGCTATTTATGTCATGCAAAAAAAAAAATTAGAATACCTCATCTATTTCAGTAACAAAATAATTATAAATACCAAATTTCGAGTACCGTTATGTATCTATCTAGCTATCAAACCTACCTACATATCTATCTATCTATCTATCTATCTATCTATCTATCTATCTATCTATCTATCTATCACTGTCTATCTATCTATCTATCTATCTATCACTGTCTATCTATCTATCTATCTATCTATCTATTTATCTATCTATCTATCTATCTATCTATCACTGTCTATCTATCTATCTATCTATCACTGTCTATCTATCTATCTATCTATCTATCTATCTATCTATCTATCTTTCTATCTATCTTTCTATCTATCTATCTATCACTGTCTATCTATCTATCTATCTATCTATCACTGTCTATCTATCTATCTATCTATCTATCTATCTATCTATCTATCTATCTTTCTATCTATCTTTCTATCTATCTATCTATCTATCTATCTATCTATCTATCTATTTATCTATCTATCTATCTATCTATCTATCTTTCTATCTATCTTTCTATCTATCTATCTATCTATCTATCTATCTATCTATCTATCTATCTATCTATCTATCTTTCTATCTATCTATCTATCTATCTATCTATCCCTTCTTTCTTTCTTTCTTGCTTCCTTCTTTTTTTCCTCTCTCTTTCTCTCTCTCTCTGTCCCAAACCCACTAAAATCTAAAGCCCGCAATAAACTTCAGGCCTTTGTCTCGTCCTATTCAAAATGCATACAAAACACGAACTAAATACACTCTATGTACGAACTAAATACTCTCTATGTACGAACTAAATACACTCTATGTACGAACTAAATACACTCTATGTACGAACTAAATACACTCTGTGTACGAACTAAATACACTCTGTGTACGAACTAAATACACTCTATGTACGAGCTTAATACACTCTGTGTACGAACTAAATACACTCTATGTACGAACTAAATACACTCTATGTACGAACTAAATACACTCTATGTACGAACTAAATACACTCTATGTACGAACTAAATACACTCTATGTACGAACTAAATACACTCTATGTACGAGCTTAATACACTCTATGTACGAACTAAATACACTCTTTGTACGAACTAAATACATTCTATGTACGAACTAAATACACTCTATGTACGAGCTTAATACACTCTATGTACGAGCTTAATACACTCTATGTACGAACTAAATACACTCTTTGTACGAACTAAATACACTCTATGTACGAGCTAAATACACTCTATGTACGAGCTAAATACACTCTATGTACGAGCTAAATACACTCTTTGTACGAACTAAATACACTCTAATTACGAACTAAATACACTTTATGTACGAGCTAAATACACTCTATGTACGAACTAAATACACTCTATGTACGAACTAAATACACTCTATGTACGAGCTAAATACACTCTATGTACGAACTAAATACACTCTATGTACGAACTAAATACACTCTTTGTACGAACTAAATACAGTCTATGTACGAACTTTTTTTTTTAATACTTATTTTTTTCTTCTTTTTTTTCATACTTTTCAAAAAAAAAAAAAGGGAAAAATAAGAAAGCGTGGTCTGGGAAGAGGACCTCCACGTCAACTCGGCGTAATTAATGATAGAGGCGCCGAGCGTCACGAAACAAAATGCATGATCTATTCAGTGATATTCTGGGATTTGGGGGACTTAAGCCGTCATATCTTAAGGGGGGCTCAAAATGTCCAGGCTTGTTTGTTTATAGCCATCGCTGTGAATTTCACTCTAAATTAAACTGCTGGCGTAGCTGAAACATACAAACAGCAGTTTTTTTTGTTTTGTTTTTTTTAATTATTACAGCATATGCAATCCAATGCAGTCTTAGTCTTAGTCTTAAACTAACCCTTACATGGATTATCAAAATATGAGAGTTTATTGTTACATTTCTAAGTTAAACATTAAAGTACAAAACATATTCAGACCTTTTGATCTGTAGGGCAGAGGATGTAAAGGTCATCTGTTTCTATGGCCGACGGTTAACGAGGATGTCATGTGGCCAGCACAACGACCAACCGCTTTACTTTCTCCAAATACTGTTAGGTACTCATTAGAGTTTGGTTGGACTCAGGGGCGCCCTAATTAAAACTCCCATCCTTCAACTAGTCTCGAACCCCTGACCCCTTGATTTGGAAGCCAAAAGCTTTACCACTCAGCCACCATACCCTCTTAATTTCAATGTATAGGGGCGTTTCCTACATATTTTTTTCATCATGTAGTAGACAAGATAATATGAAGTGAAATCGCTGTTTGTATCTTCAATTATAAAATTATTGGCTGTTAAGTCACTTTCAAAACTGTCACTTTGCGATGGGAAGCATGTGTATGTGTGTGTGTGGGGGGGGGGTAGTCCTCACACCCGCTCCCTCCCTTATATCCTTAAGTATCAAACATCTTGTAAATGGAGGTTAGATATCATCAATGTTTAACAATCCTATCTCTGTATCCAGCTTTACCAAGGCGCATAACTTCAAATCACCTAGAGCTCAATACTCAGAGCTTATAAATAGAATTAATTCCCTTTAAACACTACATACTGTCTGATTATTCTGTTTTATCAGTTCCTTAACTTGCAATCTCTTAAGAGTCGGAAGGAAAATCTTGGAAAAAAGACAAATGCCAATGTAATATGTTTAATTTGGGTCTGCGGATAGCTTGAGTATTTCTGTGCGAAGTATATCTTAAAGGAGTCTGTATTGACAGACTTACAGAAACCTTAGATGAACTCAAATTGGTAACAAGACTGGAAGGATTAGTCCTCCCGTCGTGCATTGGTGACAGACACTTGAAGGAGATCAAACGTAGTGACTTACAGATACAGATGTACACAATGTTGAAGTAACTCTTAGTACAGCGGTTCTCAACCTTTTCATCTCGGCGACCCCTTTTTACAATATCCCACTCTGCCGCGACCCCCCCCCCCCCCCATACACACACATACAGCAATAGAAGAATAGACAATAACAATCCTTATTTTTGATGGTCTTAGGCGACCCCTGGCAAATCGTCAATCGACCTCCAAGGGGTTCGCGACCCACAGGTTGAGAACCCCTGTTTAGTAGAATAAGACCACTGGTGAAGATCTAATATGCATATTTCGTACTACTCGGGAATGTTCTAGTCTTAGTCACTATAACTTGAAGATGTGAATAGTATAGAGGTCTAGCCTCGACTGTCTAGAGAGTTCCCCTTTTAGACTTTGATGATGTAAAGGTTAGCTGGTGTTAAACGTTTAACGAGAGTGTCACGTGACCAGGTTAACGACCATCGGCCGCCTAAAGTGCGGCTCTACGAAATTCTCTTCTATTGAGGAAACAGCTCCTAAGATTTTCAAAGCCTTTTGACAGTTTATGTAGATCTATAGCTTTGAGATTAAAATGTACAGCACTTAACTAATTGACAACATAGCAGACACTAACCAATATAATTTTTTTCAGAAATAAGGAATTATCTTACAATTAAATTCGGCTTACATCTTTTTATCAATAAATTGTTCCGAATGATGTCTTAGGAACAAGAACAGATTTTTTTATGACACAAAATAACATTTCTGGCTTAGGGATTCGAATCTTGCAGACCGAACACTCTGTTTAATCCGGCCGTTGAAAGGAAGCTCTTTGTTCTTACTTTGCTGGCCCAGAGTTTTAAGAGCCTTCATCTCAACTATACCCGACAGTTTCAAATTAGGTGTAGGAAGGAACTATTAGCCTGGTCGTATAGTATGCACTGAGAATTGTCGTCACGACAAGTGCCAAGTTCAAATCTTGCCCAAAGTCATCATGTGTAGTGGTTAAGGATTTAGCTATGACGTAAACATCTTAATTTTTTTTGGAAACATCGAGGGGTTTAGCTAGTGTGGGGGTTGTCCAAATTTGAAAATCTCCCCGGGCCGACACTTGAAAGGGGGGGGGGGGCGCAAATGAATGTCCGAAATTTGTTTTAACACTAAATATTACGCCATTATGTCATGTCAGGATGTCGAATGTCAAAATTCAGGGGCCCCTAAAAAAAGTCACGCCCCCAGGGCCCTTAAATCCCTAGCTACACCAATGGAAACGTCGGCACATTTTATTGTTAAAAATGTCTTAAAATTAACTTTGATAAATGTTCACTTCAATCTTGCTAACCTGTTATAAAGAAAGAACTCCGATGTAAATTATATATTTCCTGATCGTATTGCTAGTAATGTAGTGTATTTCTTTGAAATATTAAGACAACTTGTGTAGTAAGTAAAGCTCCCCTTTCAGACCAGACGGTCTATAGGGCAGATGATATTTAGGGCATCTGTTTCTTTAGTCTACGTGAACGAGCAGGATGCCATGTCGTCAGCACAACGACCAACCACCTTTATTTTCCCCAACATAAGTCAGGTACCCATTATAGTTGGGTCGAAGCCCTAAAAATTCCAAAATTCAAAATCCCAGTCTTCACCGAGATTCGTACCAGGGACCCCAAGTTCTTAAGTCAAGCGCTTAACCACTCATTCACTGCGCCCCCCCCCCCCCCCCCCAACTTGTATAATGCCTGTCAGTTAATAAATAAGAACCCCTTCAATTGAGTAACTGTTGCAAAACACACACAAATAATTAAAAACCAAAATTTTATACTCAAATAATTGTAGTTTTTATTCTCATTTTTTAAAAATAGAACTTCCAAAAAACAAACAAAAAAAAACAAAACAAAAAGACATGCAACGTTCCAATGTATCGATTTGTCTTCAATATTGAACTATTGACCAAATAGGTATAAACTACACAGAGATATAAATATTTGTGGATAGACAGACTCACACGCACTCATGTATGAACTCACACGCACTAAGAAACACGCACGTGAAAATCATCGTATTTACAATAGTCCTAAAAAAAAAAAAAAGCATATTGAAATTCAACGCGAACACATGCAGACGTCATTTTACCCATTTGATAAATACATTAGCTTCACTTAGTGTACATTATAAAGTGGGGTGGGGGTGGAGAGCAGGGGAGGGGGCGGATGAGACGACACGGAGACATCAGACTCAGAGCAGACAAATATACCCACCCTCCCTCTTAAGTGAGCCTCGGAGTTTCAACATTCAGTTAAAAAAAAAAAAAAACAGACTTCTACAACTGTATAAAAAAGCACATGTCAAATTTAGCGTCAATGGATCAATTTACGATTTTAGCGTGACGCTAAATAATGCCAGATGATGACTTATTATTCATTGTGGCATTTAAGATTCAGAGCATGTCAAAAAACATTCTAAAAAAAATCATCTAGCATCAACATATTGTCATTATATTGAAAACTGTAATTTGAATAAAGGTTCAAAATATCTATTATTCTTTGTAAGTGAAATAAATAGTATTAATAACCTATGTATTTTAATGTCTTTAGCCACTGATATGTTGATCTACTCAATTGTCCGGGAAAGTTGTCAATAGCTGTTTAACCATGTTAAACCAATATGTAAGTAAAACCAATTTGTAATTTGGATCCTTTTTTTGAAATAAAATATATTAAAAGTTGAGTTATATGCGGAAATAATTGAAGAATTAAAGTTTGAAAGAGTGAAAGGGTGCAAACTGATATTGCAGTAGAAACGCTGACTTTTTCAACATAAATAATTTTAAAAAGTATGTATGTGTTATCTGTTTATTTTCACTCTAGGAAATGAATTAATTGACCTCAGCCTCGTTCTGAAGGCAATCATGGGATAGACTTAAAACCTACTAGTCTGTTAATTACTTTAAACCCGCAACACTGGTGCATGACAAGACAGTAATACATGTCTCAAGACCGGACACGGGTGTCTATACAAGTCTCAAGACCGGACACAATTATCTGCATATGTGTCTAAGGACCAAACACAAGCGTCTGCATGAGTCTCAAGACTGGACACGCTGTCTGCATATGTATCTCAAGACGACACAAAGGTCTGTATGTTTTTATGCTAGTGTTGTTTACAAAAAGTTGTTAAAATTACCTTTTTCTTTTTTTTTTAGAACGCTAAGCGACATGGAATCAATTAAAATGTAAATGGTGCACATCTCTAGCGATTATAATTTAGCAATCAAGCTCACATCACAATCGTAGCAATCATTCACAATCAAGCTCCTGAAAGATCTTTCCGAGTCCATCTTTCTCACAATTGGATTTCTTAGCCAAAAATAAAACAACAACAATAAACTTTAACTAGTATGTACAATTTAAATACATTATTAAATACACTACTAAACATCCACTGTCTCATAGTAGGTCAGAGGCAAAATTAATTTTTTTTTGTTTTCGCTGTCACCAAACATAACATTCATATGTACATAAAACATAACATACATATGTACATAATAAAATGACATTGAAACTTAATGAACCCTTTTAACTATTGCTTGGCGTAGGTCGTCTTAAGGATAAGAATTAAATTGAACAAACCTATATAAAAACGAATGTCCTCTTTAATAGATTCACTCACGAAACTGAAAATGACGTTTCTGTTTTGATCACATCCCTTTAGTATCTAGGTCAGTAATATACAGTTTGTCTAATTTTTTTTAAAGTTTCAGACGCCATGATGCTATATGCATGACGTCACAATTGGTAAATACAATAAAATGTATTGTTTTCTTGTTGCCTAAAAACACAAAACAGCGAAATAATGAAAACTATTATTTTTTTTTAAATAAAATCAAAATGTCTTTAATAAATTAAGATACGTATCATAAAGCCATGGTGTGTAGGAGGCTAAGGGAGGGGGTGGTACTAGAAGGCTGGAGACACTAAAGACTATATAGTTATTTCGAAATTGTCCATAATAAATAGCTTAATGATGTAGGTGTCTTGGTGCTATTGAGGCAGCGTTAACTTTCACTAAAACATCCGTTGGCCAGACACCATCAGCAGCAGTGACCTCTTACAAAGAACCAGCCAGGCTCCTGTAGAAAAAGAAATCTGAAAGAGAAAAAGGGGCTGAATTGGGCACAAAGCACCAGCTATCATCACAAGGCAGGCATTGAAGTGGATCCCACAAAGGAAGAGAAACAGGGTGTTCTAGAAGTACCTGGCAACGTGAACTAAAAACAGACAGTAAGTTTGGATACACCCTGAAATAGGATGGAGAGGCTATCCCAGTACAGTGGGCTATAGCGATTTCTTCTTCTTAATAACTAGCAAAAAAAAAAAGATAACTAGCTACCTATTACAGCCAGCTACAAAGGCTACAAAGTTCCCTACCACATCTAGATGAAAGTGTTTTTAATATACAACTAACTAAAGACCTGAGTCCATGTTCTCAATTACATGTATTTAAGCATCGAAACACTGAACATACTGTTTTTGTGATGGCCAGAGACTGTGTAGTGTAAAGTGGTCAAGAATGATAAATCTGTATCTTGGATTTAAATGATTAGTACATGTTAAACGCCCCTAACTACCCGATTCCCGAACCAACCACACATTGCTAGGTGCGCCTCTGCTATACCCCATACGAAGGAGGAGCCCCCAGTGTTAAAAATTAGACATAAACTAAGATCACCTAATACTGCACTGACCTATTTAATTCAGTGATGCGATCGTTTATATATTTTAAATTGCTTCAGACCAGTGACTTAAAATGCGATATTAATCCATTAAAAAAACAACAACATTATTTCTATGAAATGTCTGTTGATTTTAACAAATTACAGACCTAAGAACAAATTTACAATCCTGGAGAAAATGTTTCTAATGGCGTCATACACAATCTCACTGCAACGTGTCAGGAGATAAGACGTTTGCAGCACAACACACTAGACAAGTGTGTTTGAATTGTCTGCAATTGCGCAAGCGTAAAAAAATGTGAGCTAGTCCCTAATACATATATATTTAATCCTCTTTATACATCAACTGTCATGTCATGTTTATACATCAACTGTCATGTCATCTTTATACATCAACTGTCATGTCATCTTTATACATCAACTGTCATGTCATCTTTATACATCAACTGTCATGTCATCTTTATACTTTATCCGTCAGCTAAATACTTTCCGTGATATACAGCGATTCTCAGAATATCCAAAGCATAGAGCTCTAAAATGTTATAGAAATAACCACATCAATTCTCTTTCATTGAAATTATAAGATATGTGATATACACGCTGTACCATCCTGAAAACATCAACACTGATGAACTGGGGATGAGATGTTTTTTTATAAACATCGGAGAAAAACAACACACCCAGAGCTTGTACAAGTTAAGTCATCCATTAAGTCCCTTACATCCTACAGATTCGCTTGAGCTGGAAGTATGTCAGCCGTGATGCCAGTTTGAGAACCTCTCTCTCTCTCTCTCTGGCTCTTTGGTGGGTCTATATTCGCACCAATCACACTTTTATCTTTTATTGACTGCGGGATTTATCTGTGAACTTGAGAACCGGACACAAAAATTGTTTGAAAATGATTGCTGACGTCACAGGGTGTATACAACTAAATGATAAATCTCAGCTAGACATAGTGACAGTCAAAGTTGCTGAGTGTGTATTTTTTTTTTGGTCAAGGAATAAATCCAGACATTGCACTATTAGGTAATATAGAGTTCATGTGTATGCTATTCCCTTCTATCTATTACTAATATTTGACCCTTGGAGGTGGTAGTGAATGGTTGACCTTGACCCCCGGCCTCCAAAGTATAGATCGATCTGAATCTGACATCTGAAACAGAGAATAAATAATATGATGAGTATAACAATAATAATATTAAAAAAAACAAGAAAAAATATTTTTAAAATACTTATATAAAAAAAAGCTTTAATTAAGTGTAGTTGTATCAATTAGTTTGGAGAAAGAAAGTTACCGTGATTATATATTTTTATTAAAGAAAAAGGTATAAAACTTGATGTCGAAATCGACGGTTCAAGCCTCCTCAAACCAATACACGAACCACTGTACCAGCAAAGTGCTTATGCAAATAGAAGGTTAGTTTCAAACTTTTAAGCGGTTAAGTATAAAGGTGACTAATTCAGCTTATACCACATCAGTCAAGTACATTTTCTTTCCCTTGTTCGATACCAAACTAAACTACATAATTAATTACAAATAAGTAATTTACTATTTTTTTTAAACTGATTCTTGTTTTGTTAAGTGCAAGAAATAAATGTCCAAGGTTTCAACTTGATCCAAAAATGGGTGTGTGAGAAAAAAACAACTTGATCTAACATTTTACCAGACAGACAGACAGAGTAATTTGACATAAGCTTCGTAAAAAGAGGGGCAATAAATGATGAGTCTAAGTTTGATTAGTAAGTGTTACTTAATGAAGAAGCTGAGAGACTTACGTTCGAGCCACTTAAAACCTGCAGGCCTCAAGCTTGCCTGGCAGATGGCCCAGTCCAGAGCTGAAGTGAAGGGACAGCATCTAAAAGTTGAAGCAGCAGAGTTTGAAGTGGCTCACAAGGTCAGTTAGGTCATTATTTGTGTAAGTGAGTGAATGTGTTATATGTAGGGATGAAACAGGTTAGTAGGTTGATACAGTTGATACAATAGATTAGTAGGATGATAGCAGATGCAATAATTTAGGAGGCTGATACTGCTGATATATTGGTAGATTGTTAATGTTGAGACTATAGATAAGTAGGTCGATAGCTTTTATAATAGATAAGTAGGTTGATGGTTGATACAATAGACAAGTAGGTTGATACTGCTGATACAATAGATTAGTAGGTTGATAGATGATACAATAGATTAGTAGGTTGATAGATGATACAATAGATAATTAGGTTGATACCGTTGATATAATAAATAAGTTGATACTGCTGGAGACTGAATGATGCAACTTCAGAATGAGAATCTCAAACTAGAGCAGGGGTTCTCAACCTGTGGGTCGCGACCCCCTTGGGGGTCGATTGACGATTTGCCAGGGGTCGCCTAAGACCATCAAAAGATGGAATGTTTTTGTCTATTCTTCTATTGC